GGGCATCGATATGATGTTCAGTGATGCATAGTTCTTTCTGTTCTCAGGGCTGCATTTGACTGTTTATAGAACAGCAAGAAATAGACTAATCTTCACCTGCTGACAAAGTGAATGTGGCTGAGTTGTTTCTAGATTCATGGCAGTGATGATCGTGACCAGTGATCAGCTGAGATTAGGTATGGCTTGCAAGAGGCAGGAGCTTACTGGATCCTAGATCCTCAAATGGCCTTTTCATTATATTTGTATGTGAGGAGACCGGTTCTTAGCTGGCCAAAAGCAAGAAAGATTCAGGAATTCAATGTGTCAAAGTGACCATGCTCCACTTATCAAGAGATCTTTAATTATTTTCTGATCTTTTCATTTCCAGTTGCACTGTATTTCTGAAATGCATCGAGACAGGGCAGGGGGCTGTGGGGGGAAGGGAGGGAAAAAATGAAACAAGATGGGACTGGGGAGACAAACCGTAAGAGACTCTTAATCTCAGGAAACAAACTAAGGGCTGCTGGGGGAAGGGCATGTGGGTAGGGATAGGGTGGCTGGGTGATGGACATTGGGGAGGGTATGTGCTACGGTGAGTGCTGTGAATTATGTAAGCCTGATGATTCACAGACCTGTACCCTTTGGGCAAATAATACATTATATGTTAATTTAAAAAAAAAAAAAAGGTCCAAAAGAGAAAAAAATGGACATTAGTGAAAAAGAAAGAAAGAAAGGAAGGAAGGAAGGAAGAAAAAATGTCTGACTGAGAAAGAACTGAAGGGGGTTATTAGAACTTGTGATTTCACGTTATAGAAAAATTTGAGTGGCCATGGACTTATTATCCAAACTACAATACTTTAAGAGTGAAAGAAGACATCACTAATAATTATTCTGGGAAAATGGGTATAAACTCGGACTGTTCTAGGTAAATGGGACACAATTTCACCTTTAAAATACCCCGATTCAAAAATGACCTCAGCAGTATAACGGTCCATGTATGGTGGTCCACATATGGTCCATATAACAAGAACTCCGGAAGCTGAGGGGGCTTCAACACAGCTCAACCAGTTTCTCCCAACAGCTCTCTGCTGCTTCCTGGATGGTACATTGATCCTAGGACTGGTTCTTCCTTTGCTCACAGGATGAGTGTCTGTAGCAAGCAGAGCATCAGGCTGCTGTTTTACATTAAGCAACAGGGAGACCGATTCTGTCCCAGCCTTCTCAGCAAGATTGTTGAAGTTTAGACATCTATGTCACATGCCCATTATGTAAAGGACACGGCCAAGGAAATGAAAGGCCTTGACTGGTTTCAGCCAACAAGGGCCCACTGTTGGAGCTGTGAGTGGGATCAGTTTCTCACAAGTACCAGGACAATTTGGGGGAGGAGTGACTTTTTTTTTTTTTTTTTTTCATTAGAACCTGAATAATATTAAGAAGTGAGAGGGGGATGAATACTCAGTACATAACCAGCAAACGCCTGCTCTATTAGAAACAAACCTGAAATGTAATGAAGTAACTTGTTTTACGCTGTGGTTGTTAGGAAGAAAACTTCCGAGGTGTAAATCCAGGTTTTACCACTTATTAGCCATGTGAATTTGGACAAGTTTTTTAACTTCAATCTCATTTCCCCAACTTGAAAAATGAGACGATAGTATTCACTGGCCTTATATGATTGCTATGGTATGAAATAAGATTATATATGCAAAGTGCTTGTGACCTTGTCTGGCTTCTAGTAAATGCTTAATAAATATGAGTTTCTACTGTAATGGTCACTTAATTGACTCTTGAGGGGAAGTTCATGGGAATGTATAAAGAAATGTTAAAGTGTCAACAGTAGAGAAATCCATTTTCTTGGCTGGGGGGAATAACAAAGGCAAAAATAAGAGCCGGAGGAAGGAGTGGGGTGAGGGCTGCCTAGAGGGGAGAATGGCTACAAACAAGCAGATGAGTAAAGTTGGGTTTGAGAAAATTTAAAATGGTTCCTGTCCAAGGTGAGTCTGTCATTCTTAAACATTCCAAGACTCTCTTAGGAGCCTTTTCCAATGTTTCATGGTCAAGAAATTCTCCCTTACATTCAAGGTAATCCCTCCAGTTGTCACATTAGCCCGTTTTATGTCTTCACACAGGATAAAACATGGGTAAAGATTTAACCAATTTGGAGAGCGAGGATGGAACTTTAGAGACATTGCAAAGGAAAAGTGACAAGGCTTACTGACATCTATTTCTCAGTGACGGGGAGAAACGGTAGTATCAGATGCAGGCTTGTGATAGCGAGCATGAAAGATGAGGGAGACAATGGTGTCTCTGACACAGAGGGAGAGGGGGAGGTTGGTCTGCCTAATAAAGATAAAGAATGAAATTTATAAATATAAGGTAGTGGTATCCCCAGAGCTTTGATAGTAAAGTCAAAATGGTGCCAGAATAATAAAGAAGACATATCCTCTTCCTCTGTGTCCTCTCCTGGATATGCAGTCCATTAAAAAGAGAAGAAAGGGTAAACTGTTGCAAACAGTGAAAACTTTCAGCCATCTGTACACATTCTGGCAAGGTTTACTCATGGGAAAAACATCAAAAAACAGATATTATCAAGTCCTAGTTTTTGGTGTGAGTGAGTGAGTGTGTGTGTGTGTATGTGTGTGTGTGTGTGTGTGTGTGTGTGTGTGTGTGTGTGTGTTGGGGGGGGGCTATTCTGGTGGTGTAGAGATGATTGTTGGGTTTTCTTTCGTCCCAGGGACTGTTGTAGCAAAAGTGGTACTTTCTAGCACCACTTATCAATCCAGTAAGCCTTCTGCATTGTAAATGCAGTCTGAACCATTCTCAGCAGCTGCATGTATGCAGTCATTATAGTTTTTGTTTTCCTGTATTTCCCTATGGATTTTCTGAGACACCAGTCTCCTGTGTTTAAAAAGAAGTTCTATTTTCTTCTGACTGGTTTCAACAAAAGACAAATTGGATTATCCAAAATTTGGTTGCTTATTATATATAGCTGCATTAACTTATATAACTGCATTAAATGTATCTTCCCCCGAAATTAAATTCCTTTTCATTACAAAAAGTTATCTGTGGTTTTATAAGTACTTCATTTAACTTGCTATGCACATAGCATCTGGTAATAATTCTGCATCAAAAATAATGACGAATAGGGGTCTGCTCCTGAAATTTGTACATTGATTTGGAAAAAGAAATATCTGGTATCACTGGTAGAAAATTGAAATGCTAAAGATGATTGTATGCCATGAAAAAGAAAGAATATTAAAAGAATTTTTTTTCTTCTGTTTTCCTTTCCCAGCATACTTGTGTCACAAATTATGGATTTTTTATACAACTTATCTTATCTCCATTATCAAATTGATTTCAAGTAACATTTTTTTTTTTTTAACAAATAGTAGTTGTTCAAAAAGGGATTGCAAGAGAATGAATGAATCTCTTACACTTGAGAAAATAATTCAGGGTTCTGAATTTGTCCATGAGTTGCATTGAAATATTCTGTGTCTTGATTCAAATTTATGGGTACAATAAACTTGCATTTTATATTTTAAAATCATCTGACCCAATTTATTAATGTGTTTAAGAATTTAATTCTTGCTTAACCACTTGACCTACCACTGTCCACGAGTCACAATTACTTAACAACTTAAACTGACACTTAATAAGTATGTAAATGGAAAGCACCCTAACGTAATACAGGTATCTTCCTAAGTGCCAATTATATGCCTCAACATTCCCTTCAATTTGAATGTGTTAGTAAGAATCTAATTACACTGGTTTATAGCTGATGGAATTACAGAAGGAGAAGATTTCTCTCCTACATACTTATAGACCTCAATAACTGTTCCTTTGCAATCTGTTGCTATTCAATTACCAAGTAATAACTGTCTTAATGAATCTAATTGAAATGCTTATTTCAGACTCCTATCACCAAAAAAAAAAAAAAAGAAAGAAAGAAAGAAAAAGCACTTAGCGTGATTCCACTGGATGGGGCCTGACTTGTTTATCCAGAAAGAAGTAACTTCATTGGGAAGAAGTTCACATTTGTGACAGTTTTTGCAGAGTTTCAAGGACATTCCCTTCTCCATCATCCATTTATCATAAAAGCGAAGCCCCCTGACAAAACTCTGCTGTCTAAATCCATGCCTGTAAGAACGATCACACAGTTCCTGGGCCTGCATTTTCCCCTCCCAATGAGAAACTTTGGTTTAGCTTTCCTCAATAAAGACAGAATAATAATAAAACTCAAAATATCAATAGCTAATATAGAGAGGGTACTTCCTGGTGCCAATATCGTCTAAACACTTTACATATAGAAACTCATTTAATCTCCATGATCTCCCTAAGAGGGATATACACAATTATCATACCCATTTAACAAATGAAGAAACTGAAGATAGTTTACTTTATGGAGAAGAGCAAGTTTGTGCAGCATAGAGGCTAATTAATGGCAGAGATCATGGAGCAACCCAGGTCCCCTGGCTTCAGCAGCTGGAACTCATAAAGGGGACACTTGAAACATGTGAGAACTTGGTTGATACCAGGTCTTGTTACTTAGGAAATCGAGGGTTGGAACTCATACAGCAAAGACAGAACAACAAAATAGTTGTCAAACCAAAACAACAAAACCCTTTGAGTTAGATGTTCTATGTAACACTCTCTGCCCCCTCCCTATGTCATTTTGTAACTTTTGTTTCCATGGGCAATGGTTTAACTCATTCATTTCAAGATGATGGCAGAATTTGAAAGAATGTATATGAGGACAGCCCAAAACATACCACTGTGTTTGTTTTCTTAAAGAAATGGAAATTTTATCTGCTATAAGCAAGATTGACTCAGGGACCTGCGGATCCCCAACAATTCACAATATTTATGCAGGTTTTGTCCAACTGCTCCACGTAGGTTCAACCGCCTTTGGAGAACCAGGAGAGCCCGGAAGCTGCTGACGCAGATGTGATAAGCCCAGAGACTCACTGAAAGTCAGGTTAGACTCAGCTGGCTATACTCTTCGCAGACTGTGTCCTCACAGTTGTGGAGATGGGCAGACGCCACGGTCTAGCGGTAAGACATATGCTGTACGGATTTTCTTCTCCAAAAATGATGATGGGCCAGGTAACAGCTCAGTGATGGCAGGGGTTTCTGGTGCACAGTTTGTCTATGGCATTTGCAACGATTTTAGATATACAAAAAGACCTATCTGTCGAGAATAAAACCAATGCTTTGTATACATTATCTAGGTTTGCTGAGGTATCATCTCATGACTTACACACACCTGGTTTTTATTTGTAACTAGTGGTTCTTCTCAGCAGTGCCTGGCGTCCTTGCCCCAGGAAAGCCAGAGTCCCTCAGGCCTGTCTCTGTCCCTCCTCGTCATCTGTGTGGCACTCTTCTCGTTCTAAGCTGTGATGTTTTTCTCCAGACATCCATTCTGGTCCATGCCAAGTCCAGGGGGGCTTTCAGGTTCCTTTGGAATTCACTCAGGAACAGTTTTTAAGGAGCAACGGTCCTGGTATCTACCCAGTTAACAGTATCAAAACAGAGACTTCTAATAGAGCAATAACTTCCTTTCTATGGGAAGAAAAAACAAACAAACAAACAAACAAACAAACATGATGGGAGTAAGTTATTTATCATCTTGAGGAAGCCCTGAATTCCTCCAGGCAGGCAGCCAAGCGAATCGTTTTTGAGTTCCATTTACATGCCATGGCACTGTACTGGGTTCCCTGGCTTAGGATTTATAGCCTGGAGAACGGCAGTTTATAGTTTTGAGGCAGCTCCCAGGAATGTCCTTACAATGATGTCCCTGGGAAATGTGCAGTGGGGAGCAGGGAACAGAGTGTTACCCAGTGGAATGGGGAGACCCCAGGCCCTGAGACCTTGAGCTAGCCTGACTAAGAGGTGTCCCCGAAGGTTCTTGGTCTCATCGTGAGAAAGAATTCAAGGACAGACACAACACAGAGGATGAGCAGTACAGACGGGAAGGATTATTAAAGCAGAAGTACACCCTCATGTTGTGGGAGCCGGCAAGCTGGAGAGAGAGAGCTGATGCCGGGGTTTGGGTTTCTGCCGTTCATTGACAGCTGCTAACAAGGGGGGTGGAATATTCATTACCTGAGGCAGAGATTTCTTAGAAGCTAGTGTTCCTGCTCTTTCTTCCTTTTTTGGTCAGGGGTTTTCGGCCTACTTTGTCAGCCATCTTGTGTTTGTGCGTGGTTTGATCTGGCTTCTTGCGGCTTTATTTTGGAGTGCTGCCAGGACAGGCCTCTGACTTTCCTGATAGCAGGCCACGACTTCCTCCCTGCTGGCCTCCAGGCATCCTGTGAGAACCCAGCTTTGAAGGGCCTCTAACAACAGGATGGAGAAATGAGAGTTTTACTTAATCCTGTCCTTCCTATGCAGAAAAAGCCCAGAACACAAGTTCACGCAGACATCCAGCAGGCAGGGCCAGTTCTATGCAGAGAAACCGGTTGATGGAACAAAATTCAAAAATTGTCAAGAATTTTTCTAAGTCCAAAATTGATGTGGGGTCCGGTGGGTGGTGGTGACTACTTATGGGTACAGAAAGATCATATGGATTTGAAATACTTACATTCAAAATTTTAAAATATTTTAAATGTGAATCTGCGTAGATGTATACTCTAGTCAAAGCAGTAAATTTAGTAAAGCATGTGGCAATTCTTTTCCGCAGGGGAACAGATTGTATAGTATTTACAGAACATGCACTATATACTCACTCTATTTTCAACTGATTTTTTTCTTTAAGGTAGTGGATTGTTTGGTTTTGAACTTTGACAAGGGTTATTTATTTATTAAATTGGGACTATTTTTACTTCGTTGTTGCTTGAAGGTACAATATCCACAATCTTTCAAGTGTTTGTGCACCTACCCCACCTCCTGCTCCCTGCCCCCACCTCTCTCTCACCTCTTGCTTTTTCTGGGTCGGCTCTTTGATTTTTCTCCTAAAGTATCCAAATCAACTTGAGACTCCCTATTTCGGGCCCAGAGAGTTGATGTGGATAGAGTTGAATAATTTAAACTCTAGGTTTGGAGATCTTGATGCAAATGGAAAGGATATAATCCAAGGCTACCCATAGTATAAAGGGAGGTTTACAGCATTGAGGAAGAGATTTCATTTCATTCATTCGACACAGTATCAATATGTTCCAGAGGGTAAGGCGCTGACTGAAATGAAGTCTTGTCTCTGCAGAGTGCACATTATGATTGGATAAAGTAAGTAGATAACATACCAACAAATAAGAGAATATCTGATGGTGTTATAAAAGGGATAAAAAGTAAAGGTAGAGCTCAGGAGGAAGGGGTGATTTCGAGTAATAAGGACTCCTGTGAGAAGGCAACATTTGAATGGAGACCTCACAAACTATTTAACTTTAAATCAGTCTTAAATTAACCTTATTGAGTCTCTGCAGGGTAAAATTAGGTTGAAAGTACCCAATTCTTAGTTTATCATAAGGACAAAGGGGAGGAAAAAATATATATATAAAGTAGTCCCACAAATAGTTAATTACTGTCATTGACGAAATACTGTATCAGGAAGGGTTCGAGCAAGAAACTCACAACACACTCATATTAGGATCATTTGTGTACAGTTTCACAGGGGGAGAATTTACAAAACTGTGGATGGGGTGTAGGGAAACAAGAAGGGAAAAGTGCAGTATCTGGGGTCTAGTGAGAGTAGACATGAGTATCAACTCTAGATCCACAGGAGAGAACAGAGTGCTGTTAGGCACTCGGAGGCAGAGAGAGCTGTGACTGAGCTAAAACCTTCAGTTTCGTGGCCTTGAGAAGTTTGAGGGTCTAACTAGGTGCAGGGTTAGGCTAGGCATTGTTGGGGATTACAAAGGTGTGCTAGCTACTGGAGTCTGCCAATGACAGGCTTACAGACAAGAATGGGGAATGACATGTATGTGAGATGTGATTGCGACGTAGACTATACTGAGGGCCATCAAAGGAGTTCATAGGAAAACCAAGGAATCTCAGGGGCTCGATTGTTTCTACCCAACAGATTAGAGGAAGAGCCAGAGAAGAGGTGACACTGTTTTTCCTGGACCTTAAAGCAAAGACAGGATTCACACATGCAGCAGTGGTGGGAAAATGCTACAGGTGCAGAAAATGGGAAGTAGAGTTTGACTGGAGCCTCTGGTACAAGAAAGGGATTTCTATTTATCATTTCTATGAATCTGTCTAGATTGCCCTTCTCCTTTCCTCTTTCAACCTGTACCTTCTTTCTCTGTCTTTCATGGACTTTCTCATTTTTCTTATCCTGTTGGTGATCTCTTTTATGAGAGGAGGCTTCGGGTGAATGGGACTGTTGTGGGGCTCTGAGGAGTGTCACATGGCACACTGTGCCTAGATTTCTGAAGCTCTTGCTCAGTCCTAGTTGGGACTGGACGTCACCTGACAGGAGGGGAAATGACGGGGAAAAGAAACAAAATGACCCCAGAACGAGGGCTATTTATTTGTCTCTTTAACCCAATTCTCCTGCTTCTCTCCCCATTTTCCAAGAACTGGAAACAGAAAACATGGAGAAATAAATGGGAAATAGATTTTAGAGAATATGAGCTTGTCCTTTGTCCTCAGTCTGCCACTACCCCTTTCACAGCCCCACCTATGTGGACAAGTGAGCTGGTCCTTGAGTCAGGAACTTTCTCATGGGTCACAGAACATCAGCACTTTCTAATATGCTCTCCAGCCACCCAGACTAGATGCTGCTTCTCTCATAGGACAGTGTGCTTAAGGAAAGACGGATAGACTATCCTACACCTACCTTTGTATGCTTTCTTCCTCTTCCCTTTCTTCTTCTCTTTCTGTTTCTCCTCCTCCCCTTCTTCTTCTTCTTCTTCTTTTTTTTTTAACTGGTTAAAAATAACTGGGTGTTAGTTCTTCATTCACCGTGGTGGCCCAATTAGAGTAGAAAGTTCAAACTCAGTGCCTTCCCACTGGTTTCTCTAGGTGCTTTCACAATGCTCACTGAATGTACATTGAATGAATGAATGTTTGCAAAAGGGTACCAAGGTTGAAGAGCCATCATAATTACCCCACTGTGCTCACTTTAATTGCCATTTATTCTCTTTCCCTCCAGTGAGCCTTGCCCAGACTGGGGAGAGAAACAATACTTTGTTCATCTTCGAATCTCTAGGAACTAGAAGACTATCTATGCTTCATAATAGGTCCTCAATGTATACTTGTTTGAATGAATGAATAGCTAAATTAATGAATGAACAATCCTGGTTTCTAAGCATGATTTAGGGAAATGATGGGACATAATAAGGTCCCATTCTTGAGGCCATTTTGGCAAAGGCCTTGTAAGCAAGACTGAGGAGGTTGGGCTTTATTACTTGATCTTGTTGCTCTAGGGAATGGCTGAAGATTTTGAAGGAGTGAGAGAATAATTTATTGACGAAGCCTATTGAGAAAGATCATTCTGATGGTTATGTAACATCTAAGTTACTGTTGATCTCGAAGTGTGACAATGGAGGCTTCAGTGAACAAAGGGCTTTTTATTTAAACACAGATGTGGCTGCCTTAAATCTATTGTCTATTAATGGAAATAAATACACTTTATTTGCCTTATGTGGTTGAAGAATGTTAGTGAAACTAGTATGAACTAAATGTGTGCAATTATTTATCATTTCAATAAAATATGAAGTCCCAAGGAGCTCCTAGATCTTAATGGCAATCAATACTGTCCTCAAACGAAAGGAGGGAAATGTTCCTCTTCTCACGTTGAACATCCCTCTGGGAAAGAGAATTCTTTGATTCCTGTGGCCCTTCAGGGTGCTGGACATCAAGTTGCATGATGTAGTCGATCTAAGATGTGAAAGGTTAGATTCATAGGAGCAGAGGAGCAGATCGTTTTGTTTGTTTCTGTCACCTGAGTAGTTTGCCCCTGATGGTCACACCTTAGCATAGTTTTGGTCCATCACATGGGATTTTCTCAGGGTAACCTGAAGTGTTTGGGGCTATAGTTGAGAACAGCTCAGATCCATCTACTTGTGCTTTTTCATACCTCTAAAACCATACCGAACACTTTTTTGTTAACATCATAAATATTGATTACTCACTATGACATATTATATATGGCTATAAAGTTTTTACTGCTCCTTCCATAAAGTAGTGGAGTCTGTTTCTCCCACTCCCTGAATCTGGACGGGCCTTATGACTTGCTTTGACCAAAAGCAAGTGGCAGATGTGATTCTGTGTGATTTCCAGGCCTCTGCTTAAAGAGACCTTAGAGCTACTGTCCCTCTCTTGGACCTCTGCACCTTGAAGCAAGCCCAGACTAGCCTCTCTGAAGATGAGAGAGCCTGTGGAGAGAGAGAAAAACAGAGAAAGACAATGTAGTAGTAGAGGTCCGGCCATCCCAGACATACTAGCTGAGGCCCAAGATGGGTGGGGGTCATCCAGGACCAGCCCGGCCTCAAAGTCAGCTTTACCGACTAACTGATTGCAAACACACCAGTAAGCCCAGCTCACCCCATGTGGAGCAGGGGTGAGCCGTCCTAACTGAGGCCAACTGCCAACCTACAGATTTGCGAGAAATAAATGGTTATTGTTGTCAGCTAGTAAATTTGGGGGTATTGTGGTAGCAGAATTCTAAAGATGCCCTCCTGCCAAGATTCCCTTTCTCTTGTTATTCAATCAAACACCAAAGTAGGGACTGCTGTGAATGGAGTTGTCAAATATAATTAAAGCCCCAAGTCAGCTGACCTTGTGATTCGGCCTTGACATGATGATTTAAAATGCTGAAATGAGCACTTTAAAAATCAGTCAGATTTTCTCCGGCTTGTAGAGAAGTGTACATCATAGAGATCCAAAGAATGAGAAGGAGTTGTTGAACGCTTGCCGAGTCACAGCTGGAAGGGGCCATGAGACAAGGGATATGGGGGCCTCTGGAAGCTCAGAGCAGAGCCTCGGTTGACAGCTAGTGAGGAGGCTGGGACCTCAGTCACACAACCACAAGAACTGGAATTCTACAAAGAGCCTGGAAGAGTTGAAAGCAGATTCTGGCCCAGAACCCCCACGTAAGAGCCTCGTTTAGCCACGACCTTGATTTCAACCTTCTGAGACTCTGAGCCGAGAACCCAGGCCAGCCTATGTTCTCTCTGACCTACAGAACCAGGTGCTAATAAGACTCCATGTGTGTGCTAATTTGTTATGCAACGACGGAAAGTTTATATAAATGGTTTATTTCGTAGTCCTAGATGACAAATACACTAACATTTTCAAAACACATGGAAAGACACAGCACAGAGTAGGGGATTTCTGTTCTGGCTGCACGTCGAAGTCTTGTGGAGAGCACTTTAAAAATACCAATGCGTGGGCCCACCCCAGAGATGCTGATTTAATTGATTTAATTGTTCTGGGATGTGGCCCAGGCATTGGTATTTTTGAAAAGCTCCCCAGGTGATTCTGATATCCAGCTAGAATTGAAAACCACTAATATAGAACAAAATATATATGGACAGATAGATGAGAGAGAGGGGGTGATTTCCAGCCCCTCAGCCCCCATCCCTTAAAAGGATGTTGGGGACTAATCTTCTGTTACCCAGTTCCAACATGTGGTTTTCTTCTTCACACCCAGCAACTCAGGGACACTGGCAGGCTAACCTACAATTCGGCTCAATTCTGACACGACCTACTGGAAGGTAGTGTCAGATTCCACAGGTGAAGGATTCAGTCCTACAAGACTGCTCCGCATCCCGCCACTTCAGATGCCAGTTACTAGTTCAATCGGTCTGTGCTTCTGACTAATTCTGGCTAACCGGCTATAGATTGGAGATTCCAACAACCCCCCTTCTTGAATTCCATTAATTTGCTAGAGTGGCTTACAGAACTCAGAGAAACATTTTACTTACTAGGTTATGGGTTTATTATAAAAGGGTTTAACTCAGGAACTGATGAAAGAGATGCACAGGACAAGGTATGGGAAAGGGTGTGGGATTCCCACCCCTCTCCAGAAATGCCACACTCAGCACCACCATGTGTTCACCAACCCGGAAGTCTCTGAACCCCATCCTCTTAGGTTTTTATGGAGGCTTCATTACATAGGCACAGTTGATTAAATAATCAACCACTGACAATCAATTCAAATTTTAGCGCCTCTCCCCTACCAGGTAAGGGGGAGGGGGGCAGGTGGGGAGTGGTAGGATGGAAAGATCTAACTCTTGTCATGGTTGACTCCACTGGCAACCAGTCCCCATCCTTAGATTACCTAAGGGTTTTCCTAAAGCTGCCCCATTAGCATATATATATATACATATATGTATATATATGTATATATATATATATATATAAAGACAACTTTATCTTTCTCATCACTGGAAATGCCAAGGGTTTTAGGAGTTCTGTGCCAAAAGCTGGATGACCACATCTATATTTCTTATTATAAATCACAATATCACAATGGCTCTATCACTTACAGGACTTTCAGCTGGAAGAAACAATATTAGAACAGCAATGGGAGAGCAAGAACATTAATTTCTCCCTTAATAGCAAATCCAGATCTGGGGGGCTTTAAAGTTGGCTAGTTCACGAGCTCTGTGCAGCCATCAAGGGCTTTCCATCTCTTTGGTTGGCCATCTTCAGCATGTGGGCTTTCTCCTACTTGGCCTTTATTATACCAAGATGGCGGTTGCTGATCCATAGACCGTGTGTTATGCCATCATCCAAAGGACTGGAGTCATTCCTTGTGTACTTTCTATTAGGGAAAGAAACTTTCCCCAAAGCCATCCCATACTTTCACTTAGGTTCTACTGGACAGAAATGGGTTCATATATTCATATCTTCACTGTAAGAACAGAGAAGATACATTTTCAGCCTCTATATGGGAAGGTGGGTGGGCTCTCCCAGCAAGTTCGGAGCAGGGGAAGGTGGGTGGATGGTGACTGGGTAGACTAACAATCATGTCAATTCTTATGTTCACATAAAAATACTTACTTATGTTTACATATAGACATGCACCCATGAATGAGATTATATCCTAGATGTCATTTTTGCTGTGGTCGTGCTCCCTCTCACATTGCCTTATTTTTATCATAGGTTTGACTCACTACATTTTACCTCAGTAACAAATGTTCCCACCTAGTGTTTATCCTATTTACAATTTTTTTTGGTGCTTATATAAAGCATAAAAAGTGCATATACTTATATGACGGAAGTGGGGGGGTATAATTCATTTAACAAAAATAGGATCACATAGCATATTATGGCAATGCTTTCAAGTCAGGTACATACAATCACTTAGGTGTCTTGCTCACTGATCTCTAAATATTACCCATTAGTGCCAGCTTTTCCCCATTTTTCCCTCTGATTCAACTCTCCACTTCCTTCAACTTTTACCAAAGAGCCCAATTTAGATTGAGTACAGAACTCTCTAGCCTAACTCATACTTTGTTGTTGGGGATGTCAGAGCAACAGAATTATGAAGCTGAGTGTTCTCTAAGTACTTCTCTAGTTTTAACTGGCTATTGTTAACTAATTTTAACTAGCTGCTCACAGGCAGAGAAGTTTTCTGGGTCTCCTGTCACTAATTTTGTCCTCCTAAGCTTCTGGAAGCTGAATTATCTCCTGGGGGAATATAAGACTTTGGGATAATGTTTTGCATTTCCAAACACGCCACAGTTTCCCATGACTTTTGCTACCCAAGTGGTCGAAGTTTCCTATTGCAGGCTGGAGAGGAATTCATTCTTCTCAGACTCCCTTCCTTCTCTTTCCATGTTTATTCCAACAGAGGGTTCTTCACAAAGCTCTAAAATTCAACTGTTCTGCCAAGAATTTCTGTTTTGTTTTATTGTTTATTTTTAGGAGCTACAGTTTTTCTGTTATTTTTTAGTTAGATGTGAACAAAACCAAACAGTTGTTCGACAAATTTATATAGGGGTTATGTTATAGATTTCTGTCAAACATAGTTAGCCTGAATCTTTTATGCATTTCTTCTAAACAACTCCCTCCGTATACTGGTGTCTGAGGAGAGAAGAAGCAAAAGACCTGATCCCTGGAAAAGACATAAAACCATTCAAAAAGGATTACAGCAAAATATGATTCTTGGCCACCTTTAGTTCAAGCACAGGGCTTTGTCAGATGGGGGCCTCACCAGATACTAGCCAAATGTGAATAAGGCCAAGAGCAGAAGTGGTCTTGAAAAGTTGTAACAATGTGTCTGCAGTGC